CCTCATGATTCAGTTGGCACGATATTCGAGATATCGCAGTATATTTTCATAAAGGAAACTACTCACAAGGTTGCTGAAAACTCTTCGTCATTGGACAGTGTTATGACACTTTATGTTACCAGCTAGACCCAATGGGTCTCGCACAGGACGAAGTGGGAGTGTGAAAATTTTAGATTCAAATTTGACGTTGAAAAACCATAGAGATGATGAAAATCAGCCACAAGGTTTCCTTTTGGCGTCACTGTATCTGCTGTGAATTACACGTTCATCTTCCGTAGCCTGCTCGAAGAAGACCCCGGAATCCAGGACTTCCATCGACATGTATAATTTTCTCCTAAAATTGCTCTAAAAGGATGTTATTTTTTGTTTATTCTACTCTCTTCCAGGTACATTTTGGTCGAGAAACCAACTTGCTTACGTTTCTGAGTTCCAAACCCGGATGGAATCAAAGCACATTGGGAGATTTTTTATAACCAGGTCACTTGTTGTTCAGTTATGAGGGGAGCTTAGTACTGGGGTTAGTAGGAAGCCTCTGGTTTTCGTTAGAACTCGGCAGACTGACTGCTTACCGAATTTCGATCTTACACATTTCGTAGCAATCCATCGTCTGTACTTTTAGATGTTATCGCAGGCAACATTGACTGGTCTGAATGGGTTCCGCTCTCTCTCCTTCAACTGACTCGAATGACCTATTGTTTTTCTCACTCCGACAATGAATGCTAGTTGTGATCCAGCACACCGCAATCCTGACCTTGAAGTTTAGCTCTCTGAACCCTAAATCAGCCTGGAAGGCAGCTATCTACTGAGTCTATGAGATCGCCTAATATGGCCGGGAAATCTCTGAGGACGTTAGATGAGGTTCTGCCAGTTCTGAACGTGCCAGTGGAAACTAACCACTAGTTTGGTGCTTGAAAGGTTGCCTATGAAAATCACAACACCGAGAGTTAAACGGTGGGGGGGGGGAACACAGGACAACGGTTCACATTCTATATGTATCTATCTGGCCTGACTTACGATGTGATTATGACCCGTGAATCCCTTCTCCTGAAGATCATCCGGCACTGTTAGGAAGTACTTATCGGAGGTTTTCACCAGATCTGGTCAACACTTTAAGAGTTCAAAACCTTGTACCAGATTTCCTTGGGTGTGTCAT